GAACTGCCCGGTAAACCGTAGGCAGAGAGGGAGAAGAGGACAACAAATGAGGGGCTGTGACAAACTGTTTCGTCGGAGTTTCACCGACTCATCAGGAGGCTGAACCCTCAATAGTCTGCAGAATCCCCTCGCTGATTACACTGTAAATGATAATCTACCTTAAACCACCACTACCCCCGCCGTTGGAAAATACGGCCTACCGGTAGCAGGTGAATAAAGAAAAATCGGAGGTCTACCGGTAGCACAGCCAACTACTGGGGAACCTTGAGAGGGCGAACTCCCGGGTAGTGGGACTCGTTGGTTTTGCAGACCACACCCCTACCCCTGGCGGCTGCCACAGGGGGTCGTATGCGTTGTCTGCATCGCGGCAGAGTCGGGGCCGCTGGGGGTCGTATGGAATGCAATGGAGTGTCGAACATTTTTTTTTTGGTTTTCTTATTCGTTGTGTCGAACTTTTTGTTTTTGTTTTTTTTATTCGTTGTGAAAAGCGGAGTTCCTCCAGGAAGCCGGGCCAGATCCCACTGGCAAAGAGGATTCGAATGAGTGTCAGAATCTGGATGTGTTTTTTGGCGAGGTGCAGAAAGCTGTGATTGGTCTGCTTTTCTGCATCTCTAAAGTGGAACACGTCCAGATTCTGACACTTATTCCAATCGTCCTTGCCATTGGGATCTGGCCCGGACGCCACAGCACTCTCCACATGTGAGAGAGGCAAAAAAAAAAAGCGGGTGCATCTGGACATGTTCTTGGGAGAGGCTCTTTCTCCTTTTTTTGTGCATAGGGTGAGTGGTGTGGCGTTGCCTGATGTGCCGGGCATCTAGAGAGAGAGAGAGAGAGAGAGAGAGAGAGAGAGAGAGAGAGAGAGAGAGAGAGAAGGTCGCAGAGTCGGGTGATACCCCAAGCGCCCTAGCAACACCGTTCGCCGCCGAATGGTATCGCCAGATGCACCCTCCACTGGAAATGTGCAAAACGGGACTGAACTTCCCCCTAGAACATGGCCAGATGCACCTGCCACATATTTGTCCTCACATACCGGAGCCAAATCCGCACAAATGCACGGTGCACGGTGAGAAACACCGGCAGTGGCCACAGCAATTTCACCGCTGACGGCTTCTCAGGTAAGTCCTTTTTTTTTTTCTTCTTTTTTTTTTCCCGCCACTTGCTTCCCGTTCTACCCGCCGACTTCCTTACTCTGTCTCTTTCCCCCGCGGCGGCGGCCGACCCCGCCCGTTACCTGTTAGGAACTTACCCATATACCTGCTAGGCCGCTGGTCCGCTACCCCGCCCGCCGAATGCCAGTCCCACCTTCTGGAAAAGGGAAAAAGGCAGCGGCTGCCTGCCGGTCGCCGACCTCCCCGAAAATTCCTCCTCAAGGCCAGGAAAGGTGAATTTCTGCCGGCGGGGGTAGTGGTGGTTTAACCAAAATCAAAGTAGACTATCACTATACATATATATATATATATAGATATATATATATATATATCGTCAAATAGAACTGCCCGGTAAACCGTAGGCAGAGAGGGAGAAGAGGACAACAAACGAGGGGCTGTGACAAACTGTTTCGTCGGAGTTTCACCGACTCATCAGGAGGCTGAAAATATATATATATATTATGAGTCGGTGAAACTCCGACGAAACAGTTTGTCACAGCCCCTCATTTGTTGTCCTCTTCTCCCTCTCTGCCTACGGTTTACCGGGCAGTTCTATTTGACGATATATTACAAGCTATCTCATTCTCCCTCCCTTAAAAAAGCAAGAAAAACAGGAAAAGACAAAAAAAGGAGGACGTCCTGAAGCTTGAAAGACGGCTGTTGGAAAGCAACGTGCGGACTTCGATGCTCTATTCTCCTATTGGTTAATGGAAAAGGATCACTCAAATTGAACACAGTCCTATAAGTGTCATTATCATGATATGTATTACTATGTATTTTTTTCAAATTTGATTAACACAAAAATAATAAATAGTAATTCTAGTCGACCGAAAACTTTGGTGCGAGTGATGTTACTTATTATTCGTCTCCTTATCTTTCGGATGTTCACAGGCTGTTGCAAGGGATGGACATCATCTTCTAGTGAGAAGCCACTTAGTCACTTCTGATGTTTTTGACGTTCAATTCCTCGTGTGGCAACACAAGGAATGATGTTTGACGAAGAATGCATGTAATTCCTACAGAAGTCCCGGGAAGACTGGCAATTCCCAAACAAATGCATGCTTACAGGGGCAACCAGGCAATTCCCAAACAAATGCATGAGGTCGACTGACAGTTCAACCGCTTCGGATTTCCATCGAATGTGTGCAAACTGCGCAAGAAGTAATTCGTGAGGTGACGAGCCAGCTAACGTTAGTGCGATTCCCTGCCGGCCGTTCGTCATGGTCTCGATGCTGGTGGTGTTTGACACTGTTTGTTCGATAATATACCACACATCGCAAGGGTGAACCAGTCAATTTGAACGTGTCCCTTGCGTAATTTGCGACTAAGGGGACTGACTACCCGTGGTTGACGATGTGCAAGCTCGTCTTTCGAGCAATGCAGTGCTAAAGGGACTATCCCTTGCGTAATTTGCGACTAAGGGGACCGACTACCAGTGGTTGACGATGTGCAAACTTGTCCATCGAGCGATGCGGTGCTAAAGGGACTATCCCTTGCGTAATTTGCGACTAAGGGGACTGACTACCAGTGGTTGACGATGTGCAAACTTGTCCTTCGAGCGATGCGGATGCGGTGCTAAAGGGACTACAAATGGTCCCCCATTAGCAGCAAAGGGGGGGGGTGCTGGTAATGGGACTACAAGTGGTTACCAGATACATGTGTGGTGGCATATACCAGTGATGTATCGCCCATTGATGACCTGTGCAGGGTTCGAACCCTTGACTTCGTGCTCCAAAAGAAGCGCCTGCTGGAACAGCCGACTACAAATGGTCGACCAACGCTAAGGGGGGGGGCCACAGGTGGTTGAGGATGCCCATGTGTAGTTGGGAACACGTGTATCTCCATAGGCGACCTCTGCAGGGTTCGAACCCATGACTTTGTGCTTGAAAAGAAGTGTGCCTGCTAGTCGACCAATGCTAAGGGGACTACAGGGTGTGGTTGGGGATGTCCTCCAAGTCAGGAACATGATTGATTGGTGCTGGAAAATCCGACACCAGTGCCAAGGACTTGAATGAAAAAAGCCTCCGTCTTCACAGTGGCTGCAGAGGTGTACATCATATATCTCCATTGGCGACGTCTGCAGGGATCGAACCCTTGACTGTGTGCTCTACAAAAGAAGCGCGCTGCTGCAACCGCAGAAGATCGATATGTTCATGGGTGCGTTCCCTTGCGCGTGACATGTATGGCGCATGGGGCGATCATCGGATTGCAGTCATTGGACAAAGGAATAATAGTGTCACAATCGGGATAATGGAGGGTACTAATCGACTCTCGCTCACATGCGTCAGGGGCCAGGTATTAAATCCACATACCAATCGATAGGACAATATTACATCACGGGTTCATGTGCTCAAATGATTGGAGAGTTTATGTTTGCGACACAGAGAAAATCTAAATTGTTTCGAGGGTTATCCCTTATGTGCAAGGGGGTCAAATGATGGGACCATTTGATTGATTCCCATCATGGTACTCTATGGATGGAACCATTAGATTGATTCACATGGTGGGGTTGTCTTGTGGGCAGCTGCCGTCAGATTTCGCTTGCCCACAGCTGTCATTGCAACAGGTGAACTTTGCGACTCTGGTTTTGACCCCAGTTTCCATGAAACCGAATGATGCATCTAGAGGCGTCAGGTGAGGGGAAGGGTTGAGGCCAAGGGATAATGGCAGATGGCTTTAGAGAAGGGGTGGAGAGAGAAAGAAGAGAGTAAATTCCTGTTAGATGAGTCTCACATCAGCCAGACGCAAGGCATACAGGTGTCAGCAGGGGGTGAGGCAAAGGGGTGAGACCATGCGATGACGGCAAGGCAAGGAGAGGGTTGGAGAGAAAGCAGACAAAGTGAATTCCTATTGGAGGAGGCTCACATCATCCAGAGGCAAGGCATACAGCAAAAGCAGCCTCTCTCTCTCTCTCTCTCTCTCTCTCTCTCTCTCTCTCTCTCTCTCTCTCTCTCTCTCT